ATTTATTTGAGACAGAGAGAATGAGAGACAGAGAGCATGAGAGGGAGGAGGGTCAGAGGGAGAAGCAGACTCCCTGCCGAGCAGGGAGCCCGATGCAGGACTCAATCCCGGGACTCCAGGATCATGACCTGAGCCGAAGGCAGTTGCTTAACCAACTGAGCCACCCAGGCGCCCATCATGTGCCTTCTTAATGCCCATCACCCAGTTACCCCATCCCCCCACCTCCAGCAACCCTCAGTTTGTTTCCTATAGTTAAGCGTCCATTTTGGTTTGTCTCCCTCTCTGATTTCATCTTGTTTTATTTTTCCCTCCCTTCCTCTATGTTCCTCTGTTTTGTTTCTTAAATTCCACATATGAGTGAAATCATATGATAATTGTCTTTCTCTGATTGACTTATTTCACTTAGCCTGATACCCTCTAGTTCCATCCACATTGTTGCAAATGGCAAGATTTCATTTTTTTGATAGCCGACTGATATTACATTATATATATATACCGTGTCTTCTTTATCCATGGATGTCTTTTCTTTTTCTTGACTGCTTGCTCTGGCGAGGACTTCTGGTACTGTGTTGAATAGAAATGGCAAAAGTAGGCCTCCTTGCCTGTTGCTGTTCTTAGAGGAAAGGTTTTCAGTCTTCCACCAATGAATGGGATGTTAGCTATGGGTTTTTCATACATGGCCTTTGTTACATCCAGGGAGTTTTCTTCTATTCTTAGTTTGGGTGTTTTTTTTTTAATCTTAAACAAGTATTAAATTTTATCAAATGCATTTCTGCATCAATTTAAATGATCATTTTTTTACTCTTCATTTTGTTAATGCCATATATTACATTGATTGATACTCCTATATTGAACCATTCTTGCATTCCAGGAATAAATCCCACTTGGTCATTGTATGTGACCCTTTGAATATGCTATTGCATTCAGAGTGTTGGTATTTTATTTGAAGATTTTTGTATCACTGTTTATTGGGATATTGGTCTGCAGTATTCGTTTCTCGTAGTGTCTTTGCCTGGCTTTGGTATCAGGGTAAAGCTGGCCTCGTAGAATGAATTAGGCACTGCTCACTCCTCTTAAATTTTTTTAGAAGAGTTTAAGAATTCTTAGTCCTTGCTTTTTAAGAGTTGAAGGTATTGGGGCGCCTGGGTGACTCAGTCATTAAGCGTCTGCCTTCGGCTCAGGTCATGATCCCAGGGTCCTGGGATTAAGCCCCACATTGGGCTCCCTGCTCAGCGGGAAGCCTGCTTCTCCCTCTCC